ATAAAGCATATTAAATGCATCCTTTCAAATTAAATTTCATTTTGCATGATAAGCATAGCCTTACATTATATTGTGATTTAATTAAACATTCAATTTCAGCATTACTTTTAAAATTTAGAGCCAATATTGTACATTTTTTAGAATTGTTGGTAGGCCCTCAAAAGGTTTATAAATCCTAGACTCATGAGCCATGGTAGCTAAGTGGATGAACAGTTTTACTGAAGGAAGTTCAGAAAAGAATCCGGAGAAGTATGACCTATATTCTAGAAAAGCCCACCTTACAATTTAGATTGTTTATCTTTAGACATGTTTTTGTGACTATCCTAAGAAGGCAAACTGAGCAGAAACTTAGGGAGTTATTCCATCCACCCTTTACTGTTGATACGTTAGCTTTAAAGCTGCACTTGCATGATACCAGGTCCATCTCTTCTCCAGTTAAGGCTTTGGGAAGTAGCTGACCTAACAAGATATTTTTTTCCCATTTTATGTTTTCATAGCACAAGGGATATGGTGTTTAATTATGGCCAATACTGTATGTGAATGTAATCACCAGTCCTGTAGTGTCAGAGATGAGCTAATTTCTTGATAGAACAATTTTACCTCTGCTTCAAGCATCACTAATCTCATTTTTTTTTTTTACTTCAAGTCCCATTTTTCTTTCTATAGTCTTGAAGATCCATTAATCTAGGTGGTGCTAAAAGGTACTTTCCCTGTCAGATAATTCAGGTCTCACAATCTCTTATTGATCATGTGATTGTTAAAGTACAGAGATTTGCTGCTGGGTTAAGATTTATTGCTGTTATGTTAACCCAAGGGGTGAGAAAAGTTAAGAAATTTTAGAATAGACTAATCTACAGGAGTTTCGTTTGTAAAGTCACATAGTTACTAGGAAAATCCTAAGTCCTTTCATATTTTCTCATAAACTATGTGACCTTACAGCCACTTAATATCTGTTTTTATTTCCTTATGTATAAAATTTGATGAAAAATAATTCATTTTTGTAGCCATGTTGTAAGGATTACATATATTACTTTATATAAAGCATTTAGAACAATAATCTAATCATTTAGTATTAGTTCTACTAATACTTTTACATAATAACTTTAAGTTATTCCTGTTGTGTAAGGCTTACTGTGGACCATAGTTATATAGGAACTCAGGGATAACTGTTAGTGTGTTACTGTAAGCTACTGAAGGGGACATAGGATGCAGTGGATATGGAATTCTCATGTCTAATTCAGTGGAGTAAAAATCTTCTTGAGCGATGTGCTCCCAATAAATAATTTATGGCAATTTAGGAAAGATTCCATTTCCAGTTTCTATGAAAGTAAGGTTTTCCAGAAAATTAAGATATTTTTGACTAGCATAAAATTATTTGTTAAGTTTTAAATGACTCTAAGCATATCCTGAAGCACATGAAAAAAAAAGTACATCCATGTATGAAATATGTGATAAGGTTGTTTAAAATGCATTCATGTATAAGATTTGTGATAAGGTTAACACAGTTCTTATTTTTACATTACAATAGACTTGGGGAGCATATATTTAGTAACACTTTATTAGGAGGTAGCAAGTTTATAGTATTGTACTTACTGCAAATAATAGGCAAATACTTATACTGTGTTTTTATCTGCATGTCATTTCTGAATTTTTCCATCCTAACAAAATTCTAATCAATGTTCAAAGCTAAGAGAACCATTATTCATTTTGGAAATAATAAAAAATTCAAATGTTCCAATGATTCAATGAAACACAGGTCCCCATTCCATGAGAACCAAATCTGTACAGGTCGGGAGGGACTCCTTGAAGCTGAGGAAAAGACACTTTCCATACTTGTTCAGCAATAGGTGACAGACTCTTAGAATATCTACCCACAAAATATTCCCTGAAATATGTAGATATCCACAGACAGAATCATGATAGCAGATACACAAGGTGGCTTATATTTTGGAATTTATATCATGAGTATGTGATAACTATTCAAAAATTTAAAAACTTTTTAAAGGATTTAATAAAGGTAACTGATTCATCTCTTCCCAACTATTATTTATCCTTGGCTTTGGTAACACGGCAATGGTTCTCTTAAATTTGGGTTCCATCCTAACTTGAGCCTCCTGATGACTTTGACTTCCTTTACCAGAAGTTTCTTGCAAAGAGCCTCTGGACTTTAGAATCATAAAATACATACTCACTTATTAAAAAACACAGGTCTTTATATCATTGTATTCTGGAATACAGCAATAAGTAAAGAAAGAGCACATTTTTAAAACTAAATTTCTGTGGGAGAATAAAATATGTAAAAATTTAAAGCAGACAAAGGAAATACTGTGTCAGGGTGGAATATCCACATTCTGTTGGCTCCAGCCCAGCTCTCAATTCTTAGCTTCAGGTACATACAGCAAAATGCCCAGGTACCTTGTATTCCTAGCACGCATTCAACATGACCAAACTCTATGTGTCATCTCTATCAATTTTCCTCTACCACCACCACTGAGCTACTGAAACTCGAAATATGTGAGTCATCCTTGAATCCTTTTCAAACCTCTTTCTCTGTATTCCATCTGTCACAAAGGTTAGCTAGTTCTCCCATATGACTGTAGTCACTTCACTGTCACTGTGATAATTTGGGACAACATCATCTCCCCCTTGGAGGCTTGCAGTTGCTTCCTTACAGATCCCCCACAGACATGACTATCTTCACTGACTGGTAGGACTGAAACTCATTTCTCATACTCCTGCTTCAACCCATCCATAGTCCCCAGCTGCTTCTGTCCAGCTCTTCCCCCTGCATTAATAGATTCCCTTACTCTGGTCTTCCAGTCTTATCACACTGTTCCTTAATTCTTTATACCCAGAACAGTTTCAGATTAGAAATACTTGGAACACTTCTTTACCAAGTGTTGTTATCAGAGTAGTTGATCTTTCGCATTCCATCTGAAGCATGATTTCTTCAGGTGAGTTTTACTTACATGGTCAGACTGAGTTACCTGCACCATTTATGGGTTCCAAAATGTTCAGTTTTTTAAATTTGTATCTACAGTTGGCTCTATAATAGCTTTCTTCCAAAGTACAATGTAGATTCTGAGAAGACAAGGATAATGTATGCCATTTCACTGTATCATCACTAGTGCTTGTCAAAAAGTGTTTGGCAGAGAGGAGGTGCTCATTACAGATACATATGAAATAATGAATGAGCATTATACAGGAGACTCATGGCAGATGGCTGATAGCTGTTTTTCTTTTGCTACATAATCAGCTATGACTTTGAAGTATGATCTCCTAAGAGTACTTACACTTTGCCTATTCACTGTACATTGGCTATCTTGGAGCATATTCTCTAACAACTGATACTTCTCCAGAATGCCACAAGATTGTTCCAACTTTTCAGTTTTCTAGGCTTATCAGCAAAATTTTCTTGAGAGATGTCCAGAGGTGATTTGGCTTATAATAAAGGCCCATTTTAGGCATAACTCCATTTCAGATGTTTTAACCAGAAAGAATACAAGTTAGAGTTACTAGTAAGAGATATCCTTAAGATGTTACTGCATAGAAAAATAATATTCTTTCATCTTTTCTCATTTTAATTTTAATTTTCTCTGTCTTTAGTAATTCTTTCAATTTTGCGTTGATTTTTTAAAAAAATGTGTGCTTCTTTATTCTCTGTCAACTCTAACGTAATTGTACCAAACTCACATCCATTTAGTCTGTTTAGATGAATACCACTAAACCTTTTCACTTTCCTACCCATTTGTGCTGTCTTGCTCACTTAAAAGACTGCTAATATTTATTAATCACATGCCAGCGATAAGCATACTTGTATCATTCAACAACATCTTGTGCAGAAGTACTATTTTTTTCTTATTTCCTCCCTCCAAAAGAAAACCGATATTCACAGCAGTTAAATGGCTCTTCCCAGTTAAAACTCATCAAGTATTTGGGGTGGACTTTGGATGCAACTGTTCACTTTCAGTTCCTTTATGCTCTTAATTTGCCCCATGCTATTTTACTTGCTGGGTTGCAAAGTATTTTTTACTTAATTATGCTTTCCTTGCCAATATTCTTCGCATAGTAGATATGCAATATACAGTTCAATATTTACTGGGTCTTTGCTATGATTCTAGATAAAGTGAAAGAAGTTTGTTCAATCAACCCAAACTAAAATGGGCCTAAGTAGAAGATGCTGATAGTGCAGAAGATAAAGCATGAGTAGCTAACAGATGGCAAGCCCTGATTTGAAATATTTTAGGGGTAAGGGGTAAGAGATATTTAGGGGTAAGGAAATTTCCTAAGTCTTCATTTGTGTACTAAAGACTCTGCTTTTGTAAATTCTCTAGCTACACTTTTGATAATTAACCCTCTCCACTTCATCATAGTCAACTTGCATAAGGGATTTCCCTTGTGTCTAAGAGTAAAGAAAAAGAGAAGAAAATAGCAATTTGCCTTGGCCACCGATCTGTAACTCAAGCCCTGTGCCTATGGCTAGTGTAGATAGACAGGGACACCCCTGTGCCCTGCGTGTTTATATTGGGGTAGGTTCCTACAAGTGCCAAGCCTGGAACAGCGCCACGCTGTAGAGGTGCACTGTGTTTCTGGGGCTGTTTACCTGTCTCTAGAAGCGGGAGATTCCCTTAGCCAAAGCAGGCAACTCTCCCTACTCATCTTCTGTCCTAGGAAGCTTTCAGATTCCAACCCTCCTGCTCTCACACTGCCCTTGGGATCATCTTCCTAAACTGCTCGCAAGTGCTCCCCCCCCCCATCAAGGCGTGGGAGGTGAGAGGTTATCGCGAGGTGCCTGGAGCCTGAGCAGCCCCAGGTGCTGCAGAGACCCCCAGGCCAACCACCAAGCCGACCCGACCCACGGCCCCTCCTCTTCACAGAGAACCGCGGGACCAAGCCCGTGCGGTCCGCGCGCTGCTCTGTTCCCAAGCCTAGGCGGGCGGTAGCGTGGAGCTGGCTGCTGTCAGTGACTCTCGGAGTCGCGGTGGTCCCGCTTCTGGTTAGGAACGCTGCCTGTCGAGTGAAGTCCTGGTTTCCCCTCTCTCCACCTGGTGACCTTCAGCAAGCTCCCCAGCTTTGATAGGGATACGCCAGTTTCTAGACCCTAAAAAATTGGGCCACTGAGCGGATTGTTAAAAGCAAGGGCTGTTGTAAGAATTAATGAACGTATCACCCGGGAAGATAGAGGAGCTCAGTTACTGTGGCAGCGATTAAGGACAGTAGCAGGAGGCCAGCATGGAAGACTGGCTCAGGCTTTTCCTGTGCTTCTCTGGGGCGGGGCGGGGCGGGGGTGTTGAGACGGGGACACTTGTCCCCTTTGCCCTTTGTTAAATCCCCTCGGTCAGGCTTGGTCAGCCCCAGTCCCGGTGGTCTCTGGCGCCTCCCGCCAGCCCCTCCCGAGACTTCTTTCAGCGGAGAGGGAAACGTTTCTTTTGTGATTTGAGTCTCAATTTTTCTTTTCCCTTTCCTCATCCCAAGCCTGTCGCCTTCCCACCCGTTTGCCCTAGTGAGCCGGGTCTCACAGGAGGGAAAGGGCCAGTCTCCCAACCCCGGGCTCTGGAAGGCAAGCCAGGACCAGGTGGCAGGAGACCCCGGGAGATCGGGGGCCTCGGGCAGTCGTGGGGCTCCATCTTCCTCGCGCCTCCTTCTAGGACCGCCTGGGGCTGGTCATCCATAGGCACAGCCCGAAGCGCAGGGCGCCCTGCTCTCCAGGACCCGGCACCCGGCACCCCAGCGCCTGGCGAGCTCGGCTGGAGTTGGTGGCCGGCGCGGGCCCGCGAGGTAAGAGGGCTGCGGCGGGGCCGGTCCTGCAGGTGTGCGCGCGGGGCGCGCGCGTCCGGGGGTCGCGGGGCGGGCTAGGGCGCGCCCCACCCCCGCCACCTGCGCTGACCGCAGGGGGCCGCTGCCCACGCCCTCGCGGAGCCCGCACCTGTGCTGGGGCGCCCGTCAGCTGCAGCCCTCACGCCTCCGCGTCCCATCGCCCCCTCAGCCCAACCCCACCCTGCCCACAGATAATTTCCAATGCAGAATCGGAGCAGGACCTGGAGAGGCAGCCTCGCCTTTCTGCTCCCCTCGCCCCCTCCCCCGCCTGCTATAAATAACCGGGACTAGCGGGTCAGGCACGTCACACAGCCAGAAACCAGGACCCTGAGGTGTGCTTCTCTGGGAATAGGGGGCAAAGGGCGAGGAGGAGGAGGAGAGAGGAAATCGCTCGTGAGTAAAGAAAAACTTGCTCCTCGACTCCTAGAAAAGACCTGGCATCATTTTATCTTTTTTCTATCCCTTTCTTCCTTTACTCTGCTTTTCTTTCTTATTCCCCGCGCCCTGTCCCGAATCCACCGGGCTGCTCAGCTCTGTACCCCTCGCCGTCCTCGTTTCCCCCTCTTCCGCCCGGCCCCCGCCCCTCGCACCCCCATCCTCCCTCCCCCGCGTCGCCCCAGGCAGGGGATGCTGTTGGCCAAGAAAATAAAGTTCACACTCCTCGCCCAGTCAGCCTGCCTGGACTATCGGCGGGCTTGCAGGCGCTCATGTTCTGCACCTTACACCTGCTCGCCCCAAAATTCTTAATCTGGTTTTGCATATTTAGGAGGACGCACACACACACACCCAAAAAACCACAACTCGTGAGGTGCAAAACTGCCTCCTGCAACTACCAAAACTTAGCAGATGCTGTAATTGTTTTTGTCTTAAGGAAAGGACAACACAGATTTTACTCTGAATGCTCTTGTGGGTGTATCTTTTTATATTCTTTAAAAATGCATATATTATACCTATCTGCTTTTCCCTTTTCCCCTTTAATTTTCTTTTTTTAAACAAGGAAATCTACTTGGTCCCCGGCAGCCGCCGCTGCCCCTTTGATGTTTTGGTACGCCGTGCGCATGCGCCTCACAGTAGAATTACTGCACTGGGAAGACTAAGTTGGATCTCGTTTCTTCAGCGAAACCCTCAACCCCAGGAAAAACTAAAGGGATGTGGAGAGTCCGGAAAAGGGGTTACTTTGGGATTTGGTCATTTCCCTTAATAATCGCCGCTGTCTGCGCACAAAGGTAAGTGTCTTTTCCCTTTTTCACTTGAGCTGTCTGCATACCTCTGTGAGCAGAGAGGCTGAAGATGCCCTGTGTGCTCGCTTCCTTATTGATGCCTGTTTATTGTCATTTCTTTCTTCAGTGTCAATGACCCTAGTAATATGTCGCTGGTTAAAGAGACGGTGGATAGACTACTGAAAGGCTATGACATTCGTCTGAGACCAGATTTTGGAGGTAATGGGATTGCCTTGCAAATAAGAAACAGCCCAGTTCTGGCTGATGCTCAGCTTTCTCTGGGGCTTTGTGTGCGCTCTCTTCCCTCTCCCTGGTTGTGGGTGCATGTGGTGTGCTGAATATCTCCCTGTTTTTCCACACTGAGAAACTGATCCAAACTTAAGCTGGCTTGTTACTGTTGGACTCTTTAAAGGTTGTTCAGAGACCATCAAATTAGGTTATTACTCTCGTTGGCTTTACTGTGGCAAATCCTTTGCTTCACTGTCTTTGTTGAGATGCGAACCCATTAAGTTTAGTGAGTGGTGTGCCTAGAGAATGTGTCTCATAGAAGACCGTGGTGAATATTTTGGAGGACAAAATGTGCAGGCAATTGGTTGAAAGGTGGCATTAACCCCCAGTACCCGCCTACTTTGGAATAGTTGCTCTGGCCATGGTTTAAAGTGGCTGATGTCTGGATACTGTCTTGTCCTTCAAGCCTCAGCATGGGGTGAAAAGACAGGAGGACTGGGGGGGGGATGGGCGGGAGATGGCTGAGGAAAATGCACATCTTTGCAGCTCTGCTAAACATGCAAATGTGCCTATTTAATTTTTCTTCAGACTCTTAGGGAACACAAAGAGTTAAAACTTTCCCATAGGAGGGGGTTGGGAAGGAATGAGGCTGAAGGCTTTTTTGAGAATACTTATAAAAATCCCTTGGGGTGGAAAAATTCTTGTGATACTGAGAGGTGTGTGTGTGTGTGTGTGTATGTATGTATGTATTCACACGCTGAGACTTCTCACACGTGTGGACGGAGCCTGACTCCCTTGCCACCACCACATGTGTGGGCATACTCAATAGAGCAGTTCCTAGAAGAGTGATCACCCAAAGGATCAGGGAAGGGAAGCATTTGAGGATTAGTAATGGAGAGAAGTTTGGGGAGTCCCATGCCTGGGGACAACTCTTGTTAGAGTGCCTAACTTCTGAGAAGTCACATGGCTGACCATCTTGGCTTGCAGGTCCTCCTGTGGCTGTGGGAATGAACATTGACATTGCCAGCATCGATATGGTTTCTGAAGTCAATATGGTGAGTTACAGAGGTCTCTGCTGTTTCTCAAAGACCTGAGTTTGGGGACTGAGCGGAGGAGGGACCCAACTAGCTGGGGTGGAGTATGCATAAATATATATATGAAGTGGGGGAAAGGGCAGGGAATTCTGCTTTGGAATTTCGTATTCCAGGTTGCAGAGTTGGCTTTTGTTCTTCAAAATTATCCAACTGGTTCTGTTGCTTGTGTCTTGGTGTAGAGTGAGTAAAATGTGTCACGTGATCACGTGTAAAATGGAGCCACATGGTGGAGACCCTCTGTAGAAGCACCTTGCCTTTAAGACTAGAAAATTCACTTCATCAAGTGATTTCTCTGGCTTGAGGTTAGGTCAGGGATATGAGACAATTTTATTTAAGAAAAAATTTGTTTAACAGAGATTATAACCTTTGAAATAAATGTTAAGGAGATTAAATAAATGACCCAGGAATACCTGTGTCCACTTGTTGCTTTTTGGAAATCACCACTTTGTAGTTAATGACAAACTTCCTCAGCCCCATTGATGTAAAACTCCTTTAACCCCTTTTGCTTACCAATATAATTAAACCTGCCCCCGAATTCCAGAAAGCAAGCTCAGTCTCATGTGTCATCTCTGTTTATTTTTGCAGTGATATTCATTATGTGTCCTAAGCCTGCATAGTTTATTGATGACTGCCCTCCTAATAGCTACCTCCTTAGACTCAGGGCAAATACTAGTAGAATAAACCTGTGTTCCTCATCTGGGAAGCACTTGTGGGGGGTTTGCTTCATGCAGGAGCGCCCCCTGCTGCCCATGTTGGATCACTGCAGACGTGTATCTCAATGACAAGTGTCCTGGATTCCCCACTTGGAGCGTTTCTCCAGTGACTTTAATATTCTTTTTGTTGTTAGTTTTCTATTTGGAAAAGTCCCTGAAATTAAATCACAGCTTAGTGTCAGTGTCAAGTGTTGTTTTCAATTCTGATAGCTTACATCACTTTTCAGAATAGTGTGTTATGATATTATTCTACCTAAAAAATGGGTGATAAATTAAAGAAGGCAGTGTATATGAGCTTCTCTGAAAATGCTTCCAAGTCATCCATTAAAACTTAAAACTTAGGACACGTATTAATTAACTTAAGAGGCCCATGGCACTAGATTTAGGGTGTGCTGTTACCATCACTTAAGTTTTCATGTTCCTACACTTCAAAAAAGAAGGAAACTCAAATAACCAGTGTACCCCTCAGATCAGTAGATAATCTGGAGGTATCTTAAGATTCTTAAGCATTTTCTGAAAATTCAAATATTTCATTAATGTTTAATGATATAACTCTTCTTGTATTCTTAGTATCTGGAAAAATTATGATTGTATAGGATGTAAATATAGACTATAGACCATGATTTAACCTGTGTATAGGATAATTCAGGACAACATGTTATGAGACTCCCCTATGTGGATAATGTTCCTTTTTAATAAGTTACTTTCCCAGATAAACAAGCATTTGCTCTTGTGGGGTTTGAGAGGTCTTTACCAGTTTATATTTGAATTCTACATAAATATAGAAAATGTCCTAATGTATGTGCCTCCAAAGCCCTAAGTACTTCTATTTAAAATGTGTTGGTAAAAGCAAAGTTATATTGAAACCATGTGTGGTTCTTCATTTCTCACATGTACTAGAATCAGAATTTATTCCCTTTCTGTTTTTCTTTATTTACATTCTTTCTTTTCTCTCAATTTCATTTCAAGTTTTACTACTTACAAGTATTCAGACTGTCACCACAGTGGTATTTTCTCGAAATAAATTAAGACAAAGTTGGAATTCAGAAAGGCAATCAAGAGGTGACTAGAGTTTACTGTAGTAGGTTATCCAAGAACTTAGATGTATTATATCAAACAATATTTCTGGGGCTAGAGTTTTTGTTGTTCTGAAGTCTGTTCATTTTTCCCAGCATGTGACATTTTTGAAGAGGTATTTGTGGTGGATACAAATGCCAAGAGCTGCTAGTCAAAATATAGATCAAGCTAAGGCAAGGTGTCATTATTTAAAGCTATTTACTGTGGCTGAAAAATCATGGGATGTTGAAAGTGCAAAAATAAATGTCAGTTTGTAAGTGGGACAGCATTACAGCATTAATTATTAGAACCAAGTGTTAAAAATTCCAAGCCAGTTTCCTTTCTTATCCTCATGCTAATTCATGGATTTGTCCAACCACAGTTTAACTTGTTGAAAAACTAACTTTTATTTAATCTAGAAATGGGAATGATCATGAGTTGTTGGCACAAAGCCAGTTTTCCTAGGTGTGTTAGCTTGTTTTTCAATATAGTATTTGTTTTGAAGCAACAGAAGAATAATTAGTACCTACATAAAAGAAGATATTCCTGTATATTATCCATTGTATTCATGTCTTAAAGTGTTAGGATCATTTGGTTAGATTTATTTTCTAAAAATGGTGGATTGGATATTTAAGGGAAATCTTGAAGTTGATTAATGTATACATTTCTCCCTCATTGTACTGGGTGGACTGAATAATTGTAACTTTTGCTTATTACAGCACATCTTCCTTTGGAGAATTGTAGGAAATAGACCATTTAAATTATCTTTGACTAATTTGTACTGAAAGAATAAATGTCCCTGTCAATGTGATGCTCCTTATAAATGGCAATGACAGAAAGATCCCAACAGAATCAAGAGTCTTGGATGCCAGTTTTACTTCTGATGCTTAGTCATGCTGTGATATTCACATGGAGAGTGGGCTCCATCTTCTCAGCTGCTGCTGAACAGTAGTCTAATTTACCTATGTTAGTGGTGACCAGTACTAGTAAAGTGATATATGTAAACATCTTGGTGCTCTGTGAACATTAATGGCCAGGCTAGCACTTCAGAAATCCACTGTCTGCTCCCACTGATGCCTTAGTGTGCTTGGGTTGGTAATGTACCGCTAAGTCTCAGTGTCCTCATGCTTGAAAAGCGAAGGGAGAGGTTGATTTAAAGTTACCTGGGTCTCCCTTGTGGCTTGTAATGTAGCTCTTTTAGTTATAAAGAACTTTCAGGAGAACATGAGCCTTAAGGAAAACAGGAGGAAAATGGCATAGAGTTGTGAGTCCTTAGGAAAGCAGTGATGATATCTAAGTGTTGGTGATGATATCCAGGTACTGTCACTCAGCGGAGACTCAGTGAAAATGCTCTTGAGCAGTAGTTTGTCTTTGGAATGAAATATATTTAGATGCCTTGATTAAATTGGCAGGAATCTTTTTGTTAAAATTCTTTGATGAGAAGTGCATTTTAAGATTCAAATTTGGCTCTGAGGATTAAGGACCAAAATAGCTTTCTCTTCATTTAAAGCAGATTCTTCTCTATCTTGAAACAACGTATTTGCCAACCAAAGAGTGAAGCAATATTTCACTTTTGAGGAAAGAATTCTAGTAAACACATACACAAATTACCTTTTTTACGAAATGGCAAATGGAGAAAAGTACTGCCATTTTTTTTTTTAAAAAAACAGATGTTTCTTGCATCACCAGCTGCACAGTTTAAAATTCCAGTCAACAGATACTTAGCAGGCTCTGTGAGCCAGGATGTGTAAGGTCTCCTAGATCGCAGTGAATGAGACCAGCCTTTCCCCAACCTCATGAAACATAAAATCTAGATGCCCTTACTATTCTGAATTCCACCCTACCTCTTATTATTCTTCTGTTTAGCTTAAGTCTCGTGGTTTCCCTAAAACCATTTCTGAGCAGCCCAGTAGGTGTGGAGTCTCTCACCTACCCATTCCTTTGTCACTTATTTGGTACTTGGTGTTTCAAGATGCTTTGTATGTTACAGCAATTGCATCTTTTAACCTGTTTGCTGATTACATCTAGACAAGTCAAAGCATCTCCTCCAGTGTGGGAATGCCACAGATATTTAATGAAAATCTCATTTCATAGCTGTAATCTGTCTCTTTTTGTCATACACTATGTATGTGGGGAAACGGAGCATGGAATCATTGTGCTTGATTTCAACACATTCAATATTTAAAACAACAATGTAACGTCAGAAGTGCTTTGAAGAGGACATACATATATGGAGGATAGCAGGATAAGCTATTAATGCATCACAAAGAAATTGAATTGGTGACGAAGAAGGTTATGGCTTTGTGGATAAATGTTCCAAGAAGAGAAAAGTGGTGTACAGGAAGATACAGCTCTGGAAAAAAATGACATTGGGAGTTTGTAAGTAGTTTCTTGAAGTGGGAGTGAGGAGCTGAAAGAATTAGAGTTCAAATCCTAGTGATCAAACTTTGAAGACCAATTGTATAACTTACTCAGGAGTTTTAACTTTTTCTACCAAAGACAGTAGGGACTTATGAAAGGATGTCAATGCACAGGTTCACACTTCTGGAAGATGTTTCAGTGGTGTAGTAGGTGTACTGAAATGAAGGGCAACCTAAGGTTGGGAGATAAGTCGAAATCTACAGAGAGATCAGGCAGACCAGACAAACTGCCTACAGTAGACCATACAAGGTCAGGGTATTTACGAAGTGGAAGTGACAGGACTGAGTGGATCCTGACTTTCTCATTTTGTCATTGATTAACACAGCATGGAGGGTAAAGCTATCATTTTAGATGCTTAGTTCAGTTTGGGAAATGTTGATTTTTCTATGCACATGGAACCACCCAGTGGAGATAACCAACCAGTTAATAATGGGAAAATCTAGGTCCACAGCCAAGGAGGAGATCATGAAGAGAGGGGTGGACCTGCGCATTGTCAGCATCTAAGTGGTGCTTAGAACTATATATAGAATTCTCAAGTTTTAAAGAGTCAAAAGATCAAATAGAAATGAAATGAATAAAAGAAAAAAAGGAAAAGACAGCTAAGGATGGAGACCTTGTGAGCAAGTGTAATCTAAGTGGAAAATTGAAAAGGAAGCCACAAAAGAGATTCTAAGTATCTTGGTAGCAGGCAGAGTTATCGTGAGGGCTTCCAGACAATCTTAGAGGTTGATGCACGTAGAGTTAGAAAGGGGAAGAAATGGCCAGCAGCCC